TGGGGTGGCAGTGCCGGTAATGGCCAAGGCGGGGGGTTGGCCAGAGAAACCGCGCGGTTCGATGGCAGGTTTGCAAAGGGCTGCGCTGCTCTGGCTGCAGAAGCAGTGGGTGGCAGAGCCCAGAGGGCTGGAGCACCGCTGGGGTGGGTGCCCGGGCCTGAGGAGGACGCAGGGAGAGAAGGGAGTAGGTCAGCGGGAATGGTCCCAACGGATGGATTTTTTTCTTCTCCACCTCTCCCTCACCATTCTCTTCCTTTTCAATTTTGTTGTTGTGATTTAAACAGTTTTTTGTTGGTGTGTGCTGTAAGCATGTGAGTTTGGAGGACCTTGGGGCTAATGAACAAGGAGAAAAGTGGTCTGTGGTCTTCGTACTGCGTATCTTTTATTTTCTGAAACACGGTACTTCTGTGTCAGCCCTAGGAATGTTTCATGTTTTAATTTGAAAAATGCTTACAGGTTAATGAGCAATACATTCATGAAATGAAACTCCGCAGTATATTTCTACTAAGCAGCTAAATGTTGAGGCAAAACTATTGGCCGTAACTCAAGTTAACCAAAGTGTGAATTAATTTCTGCCACGCTTCCAGGGACTCTCGTGGCGTTACACTAAGGTGGCTTTGGCCTTGGGCTTAATCTCCTCCGGGGCTGCGCACTTCCCGGGGATTTTGAGGCGCTTGCTCCGGGGGGACGAGCACCGCAGTGCTGGGAGGCAGGGCTCAGGCAGGACCCTTCTCCGGAGTGAAACCTGCTTGTCTTTCAGTCCCACGATGGGAAGTACCCCCTGGCTGCTGGTTTCTACCCCATTTTTGATTGTTTTTTGTAGCTGATAGGTGGCCGGGCTGGAGGTGGTGGGCACATGTTGGGCGCAGCCGGGGCAGGGGAGCAGAAGCCACTTGGCAGCATGAGGCTGTTGGGCCAGTGGTTGGCAGCGTGGGCTCCACATGGGCAAACGCGAGGCGTTTCAGGGCCTTTTTCTAGGGAGAATGAAAACCGGGGGAGGAGATCAGACTTCTCCCCTGGAGAAAGGGGAAGAGGGTGAATAAAAAGCGGGGCAACGCTGGAGCAGGACGTCGCTGGCCTCAGTGGTGATAATGCTCTTGCTCACGGGTCTCAGGTGGCCTCAGCTCTAGGAAGCCAGTTTGCTTATCCGTTAACAACCGCCAGTAAAGCTAATAGAAGAAGGCAAACACCGGGTAGTTTGAAATCAGGCTATTAGTAAAATGCAGAATGCTGATTTAAAATCTGAGCTGCATATCTCAGCGGTGTTTGTGAGAAGTCGGCTTTCTCAACCACTTGATTTATCAGTGAAGAGACAAGGAGTGACTGGCACTAGGTTGCACTAGTATTCATCTGATAATTAAATATGTGTATATCCGTCGGGATAACGGAAGCAGAGTCACAGTAAGAAAACACTGTCAAGAGATCCGTGTGTCATGCTTTGAAAATTAATCTCCCCCTGCCTCTCTGCACCAGCCTTGCTTCTGATTTGTACTGCAGGAAGCTGCTGTCGTCTGACATTGAAGCTTTTGACATTATCTCATAATTAAAGCCCCCCTGCTTTTTTTCTGGTAGAGGTAATAGCTTGAGCTAATGAATAACTCAGGTCTCTTCTTCCTCACCTTATTGAAGCATGAAGTTACATTTACTTGACTGTGACCATCCTGTCAAGTAGGAAGAGCAAGAGCTTTGCCCGAAGGATGAGTATTGAAAATACTTAGAACAGAGAAAATACAGTGCTGGCAGTTTTATCACACAATAACTGTAAATAAAACTCTGTTCACTTTTTACAGTCATGCTAAAATCAGAGGGGTTTTACGAGAAAAGAATTTGGTCCTGCATTATTTGTGCACTTTTCATCCCAAAGCACCCTACTGGACAATGTTTTTAGATCAAAAAATGCTCATATTGTTATCTTTGGTGGTAGAGACTTGTATAGTTAGAAGATCAAAGTACTTTTGGATGCTAATGCATGTTGGTTCCAATATAATGATTTTATTAAGTTGTATTTTATTATTAAAAACTATGAGATCTGGTCTGTTTTTTAGCAGAGTATCACACGACCTCTCTTACACTTTGGAGGCAAGGAAAGTAGAAGTTACAAAGATAAAAATGAAGAGGTCCTGTTTTGTTTTTATTCAAGGTCCTGTTTTGTTTTTTGCTTTTATTCAAGAATACAGATTGACATAAGGGAAGTAGCACTTATTTTGATTTTACACCTCTATAAAATGATACAGAGTTCACTGTAAACCTAGTAAGCTGCTAAAATGACAAGCTAACAATCCTCTCCTCTAATCTTTACATAACCTGGTTGATGTTTTTGTTTTAAAGGATTGCTGATAATTTCTGTGTGTGTGAAGGATGCAGTGTGCCCCGCTGTCTACTGTATGAAATGTATATAGAAAACTGCAGTCAAAATGTCAAGAGTCAAGTAAATCCAGCCACCTTTGGAAAGGTACAGGGTAAATAGAATATATAAGATAAGAAGCTGATATATAAAAAATTGGACAAGTTTATATCAAATATATACATTGCATATCAAATATATACATCATGTGTCAGGAGAGAATAAATTACAAAGAAGGTGATTATAGTGTGTTGTGCGGTAATTAATTCAGTGTAGGATCTTGAAAAAAAGATTGTATTTGGGGCTTCTGTAAGATCTTTCATTCCCCTTTAGTCTGTTTGAGGAGTTGTGTCTTTATTCCTTATTTTCTGTGGCAGGTGCACAGAAACCTCCGCTGTGCTTGTGTCTTGCCTGTTATATTTCTGGGAAGTGTCCTCATGTTGACACAGTTTTACTAACGAAAAAAACAATCTCTCTGATGCTCTTTAGTGTCATGATGAACCTGGTGTGTGTTACACTAGCAGAGATTTCTTTTGGTAGTAGCTCATAGTCTTTGGTTTAATCCAAAGCCAAATTAATGTAAGTAAAAGTTATATCTGAAATGATTTTTATGTGTGCAGATAACCACATTTTGCTTTCGGAATAGTTTATTTCAATTCAATTGAATATGTTTTTTTCACTGGGTGGGTTTATAACAAATCACAGATTTGACAGAGTGGTCCAGCGTGGTTTATTTGCCACAGCTTAATGATCATCACCATGCATCAAGCCTGCGGGTGGAATTTGTGTGGCTCAGTGTAGATGTCTGCCATGAAGCTGGTCATGTTAACATCTCCCAGTAGTCAATGGAGAGAAGTAGGTAATTACACATGATTCCTCTCACCCTAAATTAGCCATCTAAATTAAATCAGGTGAATTGTGTTTTTGGAATTGCCTGGTTCTCTCTATTGACTGTAGAGCATGCAGTGACTATCTTGGACATCTCTATCTTATTGCCAGGATTAGTCCCATCTTGCCTGTGCACTTTCAGGTGCCCCCAAAAGACTGAATTACCACCTATAACTAAGGCATTTTACAGCTGAAACAGGCATGGGTGAAGCAGGAGGTTGGTCACACAGAAGAGCTTAGCTGAGGATCCATGGCTGCTGTTAGTTGATACCTGAAATTGTTTATTCACAGCCTTATTTTTTGTTGAAATTGTTTATTTACAGTCTTAACCTATTCCATATGTTGCAATGCAGGTTAGCACATGACAGATGAACAAACAGGGGTGCTGCTGCCTAATAGCTTCAACTAGAGCATAGGAAACTATAGGATACCTTATGCAGAATCATCATAACGAAGTGCATTATAGCACGGACAGTATTTTATTTTCATAGTCTAGCAGTGACAGGTGCTGCGTGCCCTCGGTTCACATTTGCCACAGTGCTGGTTAAAAAGTCACTGCAGCTTCATGATCGAGGTCCTTATAAAGCCCAAGTGTGACACCATCCTGTGAGCCTTGCTGCTTGTAAGCATGAGGAACGGGAAGGCCAAGTCCCTCGGGCGAGCAAGGCCTTCATGAATGAGTAAAGCTTGCAGGACTGGCACAATACACTAGACAGTCACTGTACCTTTGCAAGGCCTTGTCAGATGTGCTCTGTGCTCTTGCAGATCAAGTTCCCCTCATCAAAACACAGTAACTGCCGCTGTGTGGTCTCCTGATGTTGCATCAAGTACGCTTCAGCACAGGGCAAAATGAGCTGTTGTAAAAAATTCATGCTGTGGGAGCTAACCCCTTAGATTACTAGATTTTGATGCATAGAAGCCTGTCTTACTGAGTTGCAGTTCAAGCGTGGCCATTTGAGAGGTACATGAGAACAGGTATTAGCCTGCAAATGGCAGAAGGCGAAAGAAATGTTTAGGGAGAAATGTGTAGTAGATGTAGCTCTTGTGTTTTAGATTGAATTAGCCAAGCATCTCTTATTTTCTGTTTGCTTTTCAGCTTGTTCGGTTAGTTTTCCCAGGTCTGGGGACAAGAAGGCTGGGCACAAGAGGGAGTGCTAGGTATTATTTTTGCTTTCTTTGTTTAAAAATCTTACACATGCCCATCCTAACAAAATTTTAAAATAGCTGAATTTTGAGCTTCAGCATGGCAATGCATAAGCTGAATTGCTAGTTGCAGCCTGCAAATGGCACAAGCAGAGCCAGAGTGATTCATGATGTCACCAAGTGCTTTAAAACAGAGTTAATTCCATGAAATGAACCACACTGGCGTTGCTTCGGTAGCACATGAATTCCACATCATGCTGGTGCTAAAAAATTGAACACTCCCAGTTGTACTGGCTTTTGCAGCAGGGCTGGAAAGGCAGCCACAGGGATGTGCAGGGCTGGCAGTTCTGATCAATGTCAGTGCCAGGACCCTTGTGCTCTGAGATGGCTTTTTGTCCTTGCAAGTATCCATGGAGTGACCCAGCATATTTTGGTGGTCAGTGGAAATGCTGCACTTAGATCAAATTACCTCCGTTTCTCCCTCTGCATTTCCCTCTCTTCCTACAGAAGAGCAGGGAAAGGAGAAGAATTGAGTTAATCCACTTTCATGTACAAACTTTTAATTGACCGATTAACTTATACACTGGAAAAAGGAATTTTTAAGCACATTGAGACATAGTAATTTTACAAGCAGTTTTAATAGCTGTAAAATATTGGTTCTGAGAATGACACGTTCCTACTTGATTTCTGATTTTTCTCCACTAGCCTGGACTTGCTGCCAGCATGATCCAGCAAGATCCTTTATTTGGGGAATGTTTTACTACAGGCTTTTCCTCATACCTGGCTGCAATTGGGATGGTGCATGGTAGCCCTCAGACTCCATGCACTGGCTTCCTGTCAGCAGCAGGTTACCCTCTGCTGGCTGTTCATGGCCAGAAACTGTTGCACTGCTCTTTCCAACTGAGCTGTACCAGGTAAAAATCCAGCCTGGAAAGGCCAGGGAAGAGCCAGTTGATGGTACATGGGTAGCAGGACTAATCACTGTGCTGTTCACCAAGAACTGGCAAAAACTTGAGAGCAGGTCTTGCAGAATTCTTGCTTTTTAACTTGTTAGGACACCAGATGAGCCATCCAGTCCATAAGCAATTGTAAATCATAGTGCAGTTGGACTCCATCCTTCACACAGGGACATAGGCCAGCTCAGACTCTGCTTCCTCACTTGTGTAATATTCTTGTAAGAGTTTTTTGCACTCTATTAATGTACTTACTGTGTTTGTTCATTTAAAAAAGGTATTGTTGCAGCACTAAAATGGTTTAAAAGTGTGCAAAGTCACTCTAGAAAAGCTAGTTGAGTATGTATAATTATCCTATTTTGGGGAATATTTCAACAGAACTGAAAAAGAAAGGAAATGTAGCTTTTTTTACTTGCTCTTTACTTGTCTAAACAGAATGATCAGCTAAAGGAATATGATTTTTTTCTGACTATCTTGGAAACTGCAGTTCTGTCAATCTTTTTTTTATTATTTTGTAGATATCATTATGATGGAATATATGTCAAGAAGAGTTCTTCCTTTTATGCACGTTATTGCTCTCTTCTGTCTGAAAAAAAAAATCACAGGTTTGTTTTTTAAATGTTTTATTTATAAAAGGTCACACAAAAGTCTCTATATTGTCTGCATATAAAGGTCTGATGAACATTGAAAATAGTATTTTTCTTCTTACAATGTTATGCCATTAAGTAATGTCACTGATAGAGAAGCTCCATTTCAAATAATTAGGCCTCCTTGATTGGACTTCCTTGGATTCAGCACTTAAAACGTGTATATCTTCTGAGCAGGAGCTTTTGCCAGAGTTGAAAAAAGAACTAATATACTAAGAATCTAAATGGGAGCTAAAATAAACATATCAACAATTGCTTAATGACTTTGTAGCAGCTTCCTTGTTAAGTAATAAGTTGAAAGTATTAAAAGTATAAATGGCTGCGTTGTTTTGAAGGGAGTCCTGTAGGTAGTCATTTGCTTTTTTTTTTAACTACTGTATTGAAATTACAGTTTGTAAAATGATCTCTTGTAAGGAAGCAGCAGCGAGAAAATACACAAGACAAGAATATGAACTGACTGCAGAAATTCAAGCTCTTAATATAAGATACTTGGGCAGAGCGTAAACTGTAGACTTGGTCATGTTCCAGGCAGGGGCAGGGCTACAAAGAGTGCTCATGACTGAGCTCGGGGTCGAGCTAAGCAAACTAGAGGTGTAATTTCTGCTGCATCACACCCGAGAAGAGAGGAAATGAAAAGTTGCCACATCAAAATCCACTCTATAACAGTTTTGCATGGGGGAAAAGTGCAATGTTATGTGCCTGGGAGAAACAAAATGGGGTGCAGCCTTTGCCTTGGGTGACTGAGTTTCGTGTCCTCACTCTTTCACATACTTGTTCCTGACCTTAATGTCCTTGCTGTGTTTTACTATCCATTTGTTCAAGTGGGGGTGCATAAGTGGCTTTATGCATTTCTCTATAGCATGAGTGTTGTATGTATATCAGAAAGCATCCAGATATTTTGGTGATGGTGAATGTTGTTTCAGTGTTTGGATATTTCAGAATATAGGTACCTAACAGAGTACATGATGAGCAGGAGACTGGCAAGATCATACTGGTGGATTTGTTGCCCTTCTCCCCTGAGTTTGTAGCAGAGCAACGTTGCAGAAGTCCGTAGGGAGGCAATGGTGCAAGGCTAAAGAATCATACCCTGCATATGATCGAGTAGCAAGCAGTTGTTGTGAGGCTGAACAAATTATTCTCAGGCAGCTGGAGATTCATTTCACCCTTGCTGACGCGCTATCCCCTTCTATCGAGCACACCCTCTGTAATCGAAACAGGCCTGAGGTTTGGCATCCATAACGGGAAAACTATGGTGACCACTGCTCAGGGAATATTGCCGATATGCAATGCTGCTCCTTCAGGAAAAGGGTAGTATTTCTTCCTGAGCTGTCCCTTGAAAACAGCTAGCTTGATGTGTCTAGTAGGAGAGCTGTGAGTTCTGGTGATACAGAAGGGTGAGAACAGAGGGTAGAGGCCTACCAAAATAAGAGGAACTCTTATTACAAAAATAAGAGGAACTCTCCAGAAGTGGCCTTGGCAAAGCTGAGGCAGGCTGCTGGAACTAGAGCCCATGCTTAGTTGTCACTGCACTGACTGTAGGGTTTCTGTTTTCTTCTCCATTAAGCTGCCAGAGTTGCCTTCCAGGACACCTACTGATCTTTCATGTGGTCAGACTGAGGTAGAAGACATACATTGCAGAGAAAAAGCTTGCACCAAGTAGCTATGGAGTGGTCTTGGTGCAGATTCCTGGAATAACTTTTTCAAAATTAAAAACTCAGGAAATATAAATAGTTTCAGATAAGGCCACTTTTCCAGCTCCAAATGAAAAATCTCCTAACTATATGGTGTTTCTGTCCAATGCTTCTTTTTAAGATGGTTACGAGAAGTGATTAAGCTGTCCTGCGAAGCCAGATGGCTGAAATGAGCACAGCTCCCACTTTAGATACTGCCACTTGTCACTGTCCAAAGCCAGTGCACACATCAGGAACACCTGAGCAGCTGAGTGTCCCAGTTACTTCTTAATCTTCTTTATTGGAAGAAACTGAGAGCAGTGAAAAAGCACAAAGCACAGCCAGAGAAGCAGGAAAAAACATAATTAGGCCAGCAACAAGATAAAATGCAGCTTGTACCAAACAAGTGGGTTTGTTTCCTTAGGAACACACCAAGAAAGTACGTGGCTGTTAATGTGTTTCTGCTCTGATGGGGAACAACTTGCAGAACCCTTTTTTCAACTTAAAAGCCAAGAAGGGATAACAGCAGCGATGCGCTGACCTGTATAGGGCTCAGTGCTTTCCAGAATTAATTTTCCATTGTTCCAATAAAGTTGGCATAACTATCACCTTTTTTTATTATTTTATTTTATTTTATTTTTATTTTTTAGTAGGAAGCAAATTCATCAAAAGTTGGGAATTTTACAAGGCCAAGCTTCTTGCTGAGACACTCTTACCATTGCGGCAGGGCAGTTTGGCCCGTAGGACCTCCGTTCGCGTGGGTGCTGTGGTGGGAATTCCCACCCGGCAGTGAAGCAGAGTGTTAACATGCCGGGCAAAGGCTGCTCCATGGGGCAGTACCCGCTGCTGGGATGCAGCCCTGGCTCACAGCAGGGACAGGACGTGGCTGTTGAAGGGCTCTTCGTGGCCTGAGTCTGCCTGAGTGAAGAGCAGGGCCCAGATGCTCTTTCTGTTGGGCCAACCTGAGGTGAAGGCTGAGGCAGGAGCCCCATCGTGAGGCCAGGAAAGAGGCAGCTTCAAATTTGGGATCCGCTGTCTCTTAATTCAACCTTGAAAGGTTGAACACAACCTTTGAGGGCCATGTTAAGGTTGCTGTGGGTGGACACGGTGCTGCTAGGAAGGAGCTGGGTCCTTGGAGAGACTAGCAGGGCGGGAGCTTGGCTCGGTGGTGTGATATAAATAGCAAGGGGACTGGAATTGTTGCTGCGACCAAAGGAGGCCTGGGGTTTTGATAGGCAGGCAGAGCTGGGATGTGTCAGTTGGGAGCGCAGGGCGGTGACCACGATAAAACACCCGTGGGCTGCTGTGTTGTGTAGTCCTGGATGGCAGGTAAGGCTGCTGCCACACCGATGGTGCTGGTGTCTGGAAGGTCTTGTAAATAAACAGCTGTAGCTGGCTGAGTGTATCAAGGAGGTTTGGAGGAGTTTGCTATTTTGGAGGTTTGTGTTAAAGCGGGGTGCTTTGGAGGAACAGAAGCTTTGAGGAGGTGCTTTCCCTAAGATAGTACCTACACTGGCAGTGCGAGAAGGCCTGGAGGATGGTAGAGTTGACAAAAATGTGAGCACGTTTCGACTTCCTAAGAGCAGCTCTGTGACTGTAGTCATGCAGAAGGCTGGGGCCTCTTTATTTTCTAGTGAAGCAGACCTGGAGTGTTTTTACAGAAAAATTTCAATGTGATTCTTAAGGAGTGAGAGTGCCAAATATTAACAGGGCCTTCTCTAGTCTCAGTATAATCTGGTAGTCGGCAGCATGCACATTCAGCAGCCTCCCTTGTTTCATTCCTCCTTTGTCCATCCTGTTTGCCTCCTCCACCAATTTTTTCTCCAGCCCAGTCATCGTATTTCCCATTTTAGCTCCTGTTCTCCCTTCATAGGATCCTCAGAACTCGTCAAGACATAGAGCTAAGTTCCTTGCAATTTTAATGCTACCTCTTTTTTCTGTTTCTTTCCCCCTTCTCCCCCGACCTTCTCTTTCTGCTTGTCTCACCTCCAGGCCCCCGGCTGCCCCGGAAAGGGACCGCTCTCCATGCCCCCCCAGCATGTGCCCTGGCACTGGGTAAGTCTGAGCACACGCACATGCCTCACTGCTCTGTGGCAGGGGAGAGGCCGAGGGCTCCTGCCCTTGGTCCTCACGGGGCCGTGCAGGGGCTGCAGCTGCCATGCCAGGCCCACGCGTGCGGTGAGTGCAGGAGCCAGCGGTCCGGCCCAGCCCACGTGCGCCCAGGGTGTTGGTTTTGTATCGCGCGCTCTAGGGACCTGCCAGAGTGACCCAGTGAGGGGAAGTGCTACGGAATGGGGCTGTCTACCTACTCGCTTGTCCGGCCACAAACCGTGAGGCAGGTGGGGAAAGGAGCATTGCCAAACAAGGTTGGTCAAGGTTGTGCCCTGCGACAGGCTGTGGCAGACAGCTTTTTGTTTTAGTGGGCACAGCTTGCATGGCAGAGAACAGTAGCAGCGGCAGAGGTGATTTTTCACATAGCGAGGGTCAGTCTTGTGGCCTGGAGTTGGTCTCTGTCCTAATGAAGATGCTGTGGAGAATTGTGAGGGAGGCATTGCATTCCCGAGCGGTTGAGCTGCTGCGTTTTGTCTGCTGCCTCTTCAGTGCCTATGGCAGCACCCTGGTTTGTGGTAAATCAGAGCAGTGAAAGGCTGCAGTTGCCAGCGCACCATCGGTATCTGATTAGGTAGCCTGAGTGTTGCCTTCTGGGCACTCCCCAAGGGAAGCACGTTTCCAAAGCCCAGAGTGTGACCTGCCAAATAACCGCAAAGGACCCTGGAGTTCGAAGTGACTTCACGGGCAGCGAGCAGGTGTCATCAACAGATAGGGCTTCGGACGGACAAATCCATATCTCCCAGCATGTCTCTTCTCCTTGCAGCATTATTGCCTCTCTCTCCTTGGGGATTAGCTTCATTGAAACAGGCGGAGAGAGAGAAGATGTTGAAGCAAGAAAGCAGCCTTTGGTTCCCAGAAATTTTTCCCATGCTGATTTGTCAAACTAGCTTCTTCTGCAGGTCCGCACGAATTCTGAATGTGTGGAGCATCATGGAAGACTTGCAAATAAACCTGGAGACAGAGCCCTAATGTTACTAGTTTGCTTTCTAAAGTGATAAAGGGTGCAGACAACGGGTATGCTCGTTAACCGAAGCGGCAGGATGGTTCTGCTTTCATTCTTTGCATTTAGAATTTAGAATTATTATGGTAAAATAATTTAGAAATTATTTTAAAGAATTAAAGAATAATTAAAGAATTAAAATAATTTAGAATTATTTTGATCATTCCCAAGGAGCTACAATTATAAATAGAAGATCATGGTTTTGGTACAAGAAGGTGGAAGACTTTGCGGTGTTATATGGCTAATACTTTGCTGTGTTTTTAGTGACTCGGTTTTATCTTAAAATGAAAAACTAGCTGTTCAGGCTTATTTGAAAATTATGGGGGTGCTGAATGACAAGAAAGATGCCTCAGCCTAGTGCACTCTACCCAGTTTGAGATCGTTTGCATGCTAAACACAAAGGGAATTGGTGGTTTTTTAAAGGGTTTTTATGTTGTGCGTTTCACCACAGTGGAGATGCCTGCAGTGCTGGAGATGCAGCTGGTTACAAGAGCGATAGCCAAAAAGAAGGAACAGTGAGTTTTGGATAAATTACACTTACAGCAAAACGGATACATGGGTGTTTAATTAGAACTGCTATACAAAATGTTTTAATGAAGTGCAGTTAACCCATCGTAATCATTCTCTGCATAGCCTCACTAAATGTCTGCACCTCTGAGCCTTACTTCACCTGGCAGTTAAATATTTATGTTGTCCCAGTGTCGGCTCAAATAATTTTATCTATGCGGAGAGCGAAAGCTGTGGCTGCATGCCCAGGTTTTGGGTACTGGGGGAGTCAGTGGGTCCAGCCTTTTTTGTGTGGGGCCCCTCCATGCTTCAGCTTGCGGGGAAGGATCAAGAAAACCCAGTCCCTGCTCGGTGAGAAGGGCTGGTGCTGGGCTGGCCTGGGGCACTTCCCAACTACACGTGTCACGAATCGGCCTGACGCTGCGACAGCCCACCACAAGCAGCAGAAATACCGAATAGGACCAAGGTGAAGATGAAGAGGAGACCGGGTGTCTTATTTTTACAGAGCGCTTGGATTAGGGTAATGAGTGCAATGAAATGCGTAGAATGACAGCTAATGAAAAATGTGCTGTCACCTCTGTAGCAGAGCCAACTATCTGCAGCCTTATTTAGAAGGTTGCAAGTGCAAAGTGAGTGCTATGGAAAATATATGTGTAAGATATGTAGAGCATTAAACACTCGTTTGCCTTGAAAAGAAATGGATGTGCTCTCTAGGATTTAAATATTTAGCCAAACATGCCTGTTTCATCCACCCTTGCTTTCTAAAGGGAGGGACAAGCATTGCTGTGGAGAAATACATGCTCTTAAAATGTTATGCAACTTTTTTTTAAAAAAAAAGTACTTAGTACCTTTAATAGAAGTGACAGGATAATTGTGTGATTTTTTTAAATTGTTTAAAATAAATCCTCCTGCATTGAGAGTAAGTAACGATTTGCACTGTTTCCCTCCTGTCATTAACTTGAAGAATGAAGAGGACAGCCTTGAAAACTCGTTGCCTGAATTCAGGAGATTCTATTCTTGGGAGCAAGAGCTGGGGAAGAAACACCCCTATGAACTGGTATGTTTAAGTATTCAGTCATCAAGCAAATTAGCTCCTTGCAGGTGGGGTCTTTTCATACGCTCTTTTTGTTCACGGTCTCCAGGTTGAACTGCTTGCAGATGAGTATTGTAGCTATTGTCAGGATATTTTACAGATTGTGAGAAGGGAAGAGCTTGAGAAGGTAGGCCTTGCCTGTGCTTGAGTGACGTTCATTTTCATGACAGCATACAGGTGTGGGGGTAAAATTGTTCCTTTGGAGCTTATGTACCCGAGGCTCTTATCTAAGGTGGATTAGGCACATTCAGTCCAGTCGTTCTGGGATTTTTAATTAACGTAGCATGCTCTGAGGACTTGATCCTTTAGGCATATCCCAAGCATTCCTAACACGCCGGCAGGTCCAAACTCAGCACAAAACACGGTGTCCGTGGACATATATCATCCAGTACACCAGCATATCTGCGACCAGAGCTATGTGTCTCTGCTTCTCCTTTCTTTCCTGCTCTCCCTTGCAAGCTTCAGGCTTGTGTTCAGCTTGGTACCCCTGGATGCTTGAGCCTGGCCAGGACAAAAATTTTGAGCCAGAGCTCAAAAATAATTCTTTTCCTTCTTTGCTAATGTGTGGAGTTTTGCTGAATTGTGCTTCACATCCCACAAATGGAAATGTAGTGGAAATTAATAAAGGACTCTGTGCAATAGGTTGAAGACTGCATCATGTCATTCTGGAAGTCTTTGCAGCCTGAAACAACAGCACTTATGTCATTGCCAGATGTGTGCCAGCTGTTCACATGCTATGATAGGCAGCTATTCAAGGTATTGTAGACACATTTGTTTGTTGTAATTATTTTATTATGTGCTTGTATCTTTACAGTGGCTCTACCTGAGAAGAAAGGTCAGTTGTTTTACTATGTACTGTACAGTGGGACTTTTATTTGAACCTCAAGTCTGTTCTTTGTGTTTTGAGATAGCTCAGTTCAGATTTTGAAAGAAATGAGTGGAATTCGAAAAAACTTTCATTTTGCTGCTATATATTCCTTTGAAAGTCTCTACCTTCAACAGAGGAGGCTGTTACCAACCTCGTTGGTTCTGGCGTGTGCAGATATGGGACTGAAATAGTGACTGAGAGCTGTTTTCTGAACTGAATGTGGGTGTTATTTTTCCCTTTGTTAATGCTGGTGCATAGACTTTCTCACTGACTTTCCACTGAGAAGTAATCAGTTTGCTGTTGAAAACAATTTGCTTCTTATTTACAGCTGTTAAGTAATGGCTAATAATAAATCCAGGAAACAGTGTTTGTAATTAGGATCTCCTTCCTTCTGCTAATAAAATGGATCTAGCTTAGTTAGTGACTTCAGTGGAGGAAAAAGCGGGCTTCTAGTGTAATTTATGTTTAAGGCATAAGTGTAACTGTTTCATGCTGCTGGAAACATCTGTAGTACACCGATCACATGCAGTTCCATGAATTTCTATTGTAGGAAATGGAGAACATTTTACTTAATGATTTCCTGGCGGATGTGTCTATACAGTACTTGAAATCAATCAGAATGTTCAGTAAAAATGTTAAAGTTTGGCTGCTTAGTGCTTTGCAAGAGCTTCCACTACTGCTCCGAAAGTCCAAATTTAAAGGTACGTTTGAGTAATAGATTATAGGAAAATAATATCCACTTAAACTGTGGAGAAAGCTATGTTGCAAGACAGTTACATAATTTAATCTTAGAACTCTTTTTAGCTGATGTAACTCTTTTCGTAATGAGGACTAGAGTTAGTTGGGGTACAGGTGAAAAGAAATGGTGCCAAATAACACGTGAGAACAAATTTAAGTCAAATTATTCCCAGTCTATGGCAAATTAAAGTGTGCTTGACTATTTTCAATGGTCTGTCTTTTGTCATGATCACTCTGGCGATGTAGATGATCAGGAATAGTATGCAGTGAAGGCATCCTGTCTGACAAATGTGGCAATCTGTGTCTTCACCTTGCAAGGGCTTTTGTAATTAATATAAGTTAATTAATAGCTATAAGACAGTTCAATAGTACGAAAAAAGAAATGCCATAGGCCCTTAAGGAAACTGTGTCTGTCATTAGAATAGGATTTGAATAGTGTGTAATGTATAAAACTGTGCCTATATGTGTGTGTTTGTAAGCACATAAGTGAATGCACATAGATATATATGATGCTAAAGCATTTGGCTAAAGCAAAATACTGCCGATTGCTGATTGAGCAAAACCCATCTGGGTGACAAGGCAGGGCTTCTGTGCAGACAAAGGGTCGTACTGTCCTTATTCATCAGGAAAGATGTGCACCGTCAGGCTTAATTCTGGCATTTCTTATCTTTTGCATGTGGGACAGTGCAGACTGAGACATGTATTTTTAGCATACTTGTGTACATGGAAGCATATGCAATTAGTCAGATACGGTGCGCTCTGTACTCATCCTGGGCTTTCTGGTTTGCACATACTTCAGAGAAACAGAAATTTTTACTTGAAAGCCTTTTCACTTGAAAACTGTTCCCTGTCTGCAGAATTTTGTAAGTTGATTTATACTTGATCTTCCTTCAACTAAGAATCAAGTATTTTGCATTTCATTCTTAAAAATGATATTCCTGGACCATGCTTTTTGTTGTTCTGACACGGGAACAAATAGAACCAAAGAAATCAAGTGTTAACAATGGTGCTACAGAATTATAGATGCACAAAGGTGAAGATTTAAGCTCTTTATATATCCTTACATATTTATATATATATACACATATATATTTGAAGTATTTTTTCTTTGTGCCATTGGTTAGCAGGTTTGCAGTGGAGGGAAAGTGGTAACCTAGGCAGCTGCAGCTTGCAGGCATTAAACCAGCAGGGTCCCTAGGGCCGTTACTGGGCTCCCTCAGGGACCTGCTTTCTCACGTAAAAGATCTGTCTCCATTGCTGTCTTTGGAATGTAAATATCAGTGATCTGAAATATCTTCCTCTTCTGCTTTAACAGAAGTTACCATGTTTGTAAAAAGACTCAGAAGAAAGACATATCTTTCCAATATGGCTAAGGTAAGTTCCAGAATCCATGAATCCAGAAACCAGGGTCATCACTGGCTTTCTTTTTGTTGGGAAGAGTGAGACAAAACGGGAGTTCTGGAGCTGTATCCCCATTTACATTTTGTTTTACAGTATCAATCTTCTCAGCTGTAGGACAGAGAAGATACCTTAGCCCCGTGTCGTGTGTTGTTTCATCAAGCTGCAGTTCCTCAGTGCTGTTTCAGTGCAGTGAGCTGTACCCTCCCATGGGGTTCCTTCCATCACTGGCTGTAGATGCCTCCAAATCAGCAGCTTTTTAGGTGGCCCAGGATACAAGAGAAGAGATAGGCAATGAATAGGGAAGAAAGCAGAGGAAAATAGGCAATATGTTGGCTCCTCTTCTTCAAAGAGCAAGGACAGGACTCTGCCAAGATACTAGCTGGCTTAAATCACTGCCCTGTGTCCCAACAGAGAAGGGACTGAGAAGGGGCGTGGTGGCTCTTTGGACTGCATGCTGGTGTCAGATTTTCCCTCACTAATTGTAGCTTCTCTTCATGGGAAAACCTCATTGCTGGCAACGTACAAAAGTCACGCTTCACTCAGGTAAAAAAATAAACAGGAAAAAAACCCAATGCACAAGCATAAGAAAGGGTCTGTCCCCGTGAAGTTCCCAGCAGCCTTGGTTCCAGTTTGCTGCAGCAGCCCTCGGCAGTGGTGGGCACTTGGTAAGCGCAGCTTCCTACGCCTCTGAACAGAGCTTTCTGTGCATCAGAGGACTTGATCTAGCAAGCCTGGGAGTGCCAGCTGTTTGCAGGCAAGCCGAAGCTAATTTGCGTATTTGGACTTTTATTTCTTTCTTGTGTGCCTGAGCCATGCTGTCAAGGGACTGGTTAGAGCGTTTTGATTCTTCCCTGCCCATCCCTAATGTGAGGAAAAAGTCACAGGAAGTCAACTTTAATTCATACCTGTGAGATTTATGCCAGGTGAATTTTAGCCTAGTTGGGGGGGATTCTCTTGCGGCAGCCTCGAGCTGTTTTACGTCCACTTGACACCGTTTAGCCAGCACAAAGTGAAGCTTGTAGAGCTGTGAATGTGGGTCATGTGTCGATGTGCGACCGTATGCGCTCCCAGCCTGGCTGCTGCTCCTGCTAGAAAGCTCTTGGCACCATTCTCACCAGTAAATGATATTTGCACCCTCCCCAGGGCCTCTTCAAAGGAGGGCAAACGAGTTCCAGTGTAACTGACTATTGGAGCCATTAGCTACTTAAAAGTAAGGGCCTCAGCAAGTGAAATTGTAGAGTTCTGGTGAGTGAACATCCCCGTAGTCTTTGAGCAGTCACGTGGTCGGAATGGGATCCTCTGCTAGAGAACTTGCCAAGGCTCTCAGCTCTGGGCTCCAGTAGCAAGGAGAAGGTTGTGTGTATCAGAAGGCAGTCTGCACCACCACAGATGTTTGAAATGTTCATCTTGTGGGAAACACACAGATACTTCATGGGGATGTGGATGTCACTCAGGCCGAAGTACAAGGTCAGAGCAGATACTAGGGTTGGGTTGACTTGTATCCTGGTTCCCTTGTGGCCCTCCTCAGATGTGCAAGTGAAGTGGATGAAAAGAAGGAAAGTGGCGTCTCGCTCCTCTTGTGTTGTCTTCCAGCAATCTGGGAGGAGGGTTGTAGCCACTTCTTTGTACTTAATAGCTTGTTTTTGGCATCAGCAACATCTTGGGGTAGTAAGTTCTGGGGTTTATTGTTTATTGAGTGATTTTTTAAAAAAATCTGCCCTTTTTCATGCTACTTTTCATGCAAGCCCCTATCGTATTTTCCCTCAGTTATTTCTACCCTAAGTTGAATTTTATTTGAACTTCTCATGCAGGGGTCGTTTGTTGTTTCTTATCATCCTTTTCTATTTTTTTTTTTCTGTCAAAACACATCCTGAATTTCAGCTAGGGACTGGTGGTCCAAGCAGGCTGCTGTGCTCCTAGTGAGCAGTAGCACAGAGGAACTGTGCAGCTGCAGTTTCCAAATGGTGCAAACACCCCCCACCTTGTAGAGTACTTGGCAGGAATTTAACCACCCGCTGAGAAAATAGGGACAATTTTGTCAGGGTCAGCATTCAAAAGAAAGAAGTAACTTTCCCATCCTGTGTAGCTAAAGCAGGGTGAGGGCTGCTGCTACCTGGTCGTATAGAAGTTAATGGGTAGAATATAAGAAGATGAGAATTCCTTGTGAGAAAGGAAGGAGAATGTAACGTGGCTCTTTGCTTGTGGTTGCTTGTGCCTCTGGGAAGCCATGTTTGAGCGTCTTCGCGGCTGGCTCTCAGGCACTTAGGATGCTCTACCTGGTCTAGTGAAGTGAAATGGCTCGAGAAAGTAGCCTAAATAGTGGAATATGGAGTCGGGTGTTAGCAGCATATTGAAGGCTGGGTGCTTAGTGGTTCCTTTTTAATGCTTATGTTGGATGTTCTTGTGTCAAGCAAATGCTTGACTGGAAGCTCCAAGTGAAATAAGAGGAGACATTTTGGCTTTAACTCTGTGGAAGGAAATTCCTGTGTGAGAATCATGGTGCTGTTGATGTTTCAGTAGAGCAAGCAGAATAGCGAAAAACAAAAATCACTGGATTGGGGATTATATTTGTAAACAAGCAGGCAGCTGGATTCGCTGCTGTTTGTGAGGTACAGTGCTTACTATCATGCAGATGATGAATGGAATTTCTGAAGATGTTTGTGAATCCTGCTTTTTTTTTTCCTGAATTTTATCAGAAATTAGCTTTCCTCTGCAAGGCCACACTTGTACATGCATTATTCATTATGCACTAAAAAGCCCAAACTCGGTAACTTAGGCTCCTACTGATGCCAGTCTGAAATCAAGGGGCTAAATGTGTAGTTTACGTCTGTTATGTTAATGTCTTTAGTTTTAATTTTCTTCACTGTTTTCCCGCCTAAAATATTTTAGTCGAGAATCTGAAGCAATGCTGTGTGATCTGGCTATTGTCTGCAAGAAATAGTGAAGCAATAGAATCATAGAATCATAGAATGCTTAAGGTTGGAAGAGACCTCTAGAGGTCATCTAGTCCAGGTTGCACACGCAGGGTCACCTAGAGCACGTGGCACAGGGTGGCATCCAAGTGGGTTTTGAAGATCTCCAGAGAAGGAGACTCCACAACCTCTCTGGGCAGCCTGTTCCAGGGCTCTGTCACCCTCACTGTTAAGAAATTTTTCTTTAAGTTCCTATGGAACTTTTGATGCTTCAGTTTGTGGCCATTACCTCTAGTTCTGTCAGTGTCTTTTCACCAGTGAAAAGAGGCCAGCACCATCCTCCTCACTGCTTCCCTTGAGGTACTTATAGACACTGATCAGATCCCCTCTCAGCCTTCTCTTCTCCAGGCTGAACAGGCCCAGCTCCCTCAGCCTCTCCTCATAGGGCAGATGTTCCAGGCCTCTGATAATCCAGCTCCACATCCCTCTTGTACTGTGGGGCCCAGAGCTGGACACAATACTCCAGATGTGGCCTCACCAGGGCTGAGTAGAGGGGCAGGATCACCTCCTTCGACCTGCTGGAGATGCTCTTCTTAATGCACTCCAGGATCCCAGAAGTTCATCAAGGCAGTTCATCAAGTTAAGCGAAAGATTTTTTTCAGTATCTGGGTAGTACTGAGTAGTCCAGTACCTGTAGTGAGTAGTACGGTCAGGAAACTAGGCTCATCCACAAATGACTCATAAACAGGTAATGAGATAAAATCTCCCATAATATTATTTTTACTTAAACCATTTTTTTTTCTGAAGATTCCAGTGTTATCTTTAGCTTCTCATAGTTCTGGGTAATTTAGGAAAAGCTGCCTTTGATTGAAAAATATATAAAGGAGAGGAGCACTGCAGGAAAGTTTGCCCTGATACAGTTTTCCATATTTTAGACAAAATACTGCTATTTGGCCTAACTGTAATAACTATAGGCAGATGCCCAGGCAATTGCCCAGATACTTTAAGTATCTGTCTGCCTTCTGTGCTCCATCACACACAGCAATACAACGTGTCATTGAAGAGAACATCATGCAGAACAAAAAATGCTTGAAGAGCACTTAAAATTTATCTCCTTTGATTCTTTTCCCCTGCATTTGGAGACTGTGTACACATTTAAAGCTAGCATTGAATAAGGGAAGCTTTTAGACTGAGTTAAGGATCTAACAAAATGACAGACACTATTTTCTTATTATCTGTAGACAATGAGGATAGTCTTGAACAACAACAGCAAAGTCACTGTTCTAAAATCAGACTTGCATGCTGTCATCGATCAGGGATTTGTGGATATTCATGGAAACCCCTTTCAGAAGAAGTTTAAGAATCCGGATGACCTGGAGAATGACATAGGACTCAAATGTAATATCCTTTTGTGTCTTTTCTATCCTTTTAAGCCCTTGCTCGGTGTTGTTAAAGCTCCAGCATTTCCTCTTGTTTATTCTTGGTATTTGCCTTAATGGGTATTACTGGCTCGGAGTAGCCCTAAGTGCTGGAAAAGAGCCAAGAAAACTGAGAGTGGAGCATGTAACATTGTCCTTTTAACTTTAAAGGTTAAGAATGAAAGGCTTTCAGTTCTGGTTGTGTCTTAAAGCTTTCTGTGGCGGAAGGGTTTTGTGTTGTTAAATGGTAGGTCTTCTAGGAGAGGGTTGGCCAACAGGGATATTCATTTGTTACTGTTTTCTGTGAGTGAAAGAAGAAGGAAGAGTTGCATACTGCATTTTCCTCTGTTACTAATCTAAATACACAGAATTCTTTTGTGTAGCCAGATTTGAAATACTATATTTTGACCTTACAGCATTCCTGCAGTTGCTCTGTCCTGCAGCCTCTGCAGTTGACGTTGTGCTATATGCAATAAAATACCCAGTTCGTGTGGAGCCATGACGTAACGTGTTTGCCAGTTTAATAGAGAGTAATGGGAACGTAATGGCAAGATAATTCCTAGATTAAGGAGCCGCTATTTAAATTCTTAGCAAGAGGCAGCTGGGACTAGACCGTGCACAGAAGTGACAGTGAGAACGTGAGCTCCTGGTTCCCAGCCTGCGGCCAGCTCGCTCTGCAGCATGGATGGGCTGCAGCCTTGCTGGGGCTGTTTCCAGGAGGAACAACTGGCTTTGTTCACGGACGCATCATGAGAATCTTTTAAATAATATTGAATTATCTTTAATTTAAATAATGCCTTACTCTTTTCAACTTGGATTTACTGCCTTTTCTGCTTTCGTTGCTTTGTGAGTTTCAGTTTATAGTAAACGAGGTCTCACAAGCCTTCTGCACTTAACCTTCCTGAACGAAGACGTGTCCCTTAGAAGGGTGTAAATTAGAGAGATGCAATAGGGAGGTAACTTTTGGTGCTGGGAGGTGGAGTCTAATCTTTTAGGGATATAGCTGCTCTGGTATTTGGCAATATTAACTATTTTTGCTTGTCAACAGAATTTTCTGTTTTCTGTTGTTACCTAAAACAGTTTTCTTCCCCTCAACGGGTAAAACCTTTACTATAATGACTAGGTCAATAGAGCCATGGCAGAAGGAGATGTAAATCTGAATAGGGTAGGACTGATTTCAGAGTAGGATACAATTTCATAGTAAAAGAATGATATGAGTGTATTGATCAAAATGCTATAAACAGATGTCTTAGCATATTTTAAATTAAAGGTTAAAAAAAAAGTTAAAAACTGGAAATCAAACCAAAAAGCAAAGCAACTACTTCAATTAATGTATCTCCCTTGCATATTTTATAGGCTTGAATGACTTAATAGCTTTGCTGGACAATTCCACGGATATTCGGATTTTCCTGAACTGTTTGTCTTCAAATCTTCAGGCTTTTGTCATTCAGGTATAAAATTCACTTCATTATTTCCCGAAAAGAAAGGGTGATCACACCGATTATCATGTTACATGCTGACTTATCAATAGTTTGCAGGTCTTGCACTGTACAACAGCAACCTGAGCAGACTGCAGATTTGCATAAATACAATTTATGCAGGCTGCAGAAAAGGGGGAGCTAATTGGCATACAGGAATTCCAGCTGTGCAGGCAGCCTCGGTGCGTGCGTCCACTCAGGCGATTCCTGTATCTCCAGTCCCACTTTATAGGCGCCCATTATGACACTCTCTTACATATTCAGATTTACAAGAAAAAGGGTTTATAAAATGAAGAGAACACTTCATGATTCCTGAAGCTCCTGGGTCGTGTAACCATTGATTTGAGCAGGTGGTCAGAGCGCTACGTTGTTGTACAGCGGCTCGGGCACTTGTTTCTGATGGAGCCATGAGGGTGGTTGAACATGGCAAGAGATTGTCCAGAAAGACCATGAAATCTTTATCCTGGGAGGTATTTCTTGACTGAATAAGTTGACTGGACAGGGCCATGAGCAAGTTCAACTAATGCAAACTGCTTTGTGCAAGGAGTTGCACAAGATGGTGTCCAGAGGCCCCTTTCAACCTGAGTTATTCTAGGATACCAACCAAGCAACTGCTTGTTCCACCTTTGCATGCACTTGGTATTTGGAAATATTGTCTGCAGTATAATAAGGGGTTCTTTTAATTAGCTTTGTCATAAAGCATTCTTTTTCTCTTACTTGCAGCCAAGCAAGAGTAAAGAGGAGTTTAAAAAAGTGGCAGCTAATTTCCAGCTCCGATGGAACTTCCTGTTAACTGGAGTAAGCAAAGCTATGACACTCTGCCGTACAGTGAGTTTTGGTAAGATCTTTGTGACCTTCATCTGATACCCCGCTCTGTGAGCTGAGAAGATGATAGAGGCAGGGGATCATTTTAATTGACATAAATTCAAGCTACAGTCAAAAGGGTCATCGCTTGTTCCTACTCCCTTTTTTGTTTGACGCAGCAGCGCTTGTCTGGTGCTGTGGGTAGCCAGATTGGGGAAATTAAATAGTTAATTTCCAGCCAGATCAGTTGTCTGACCCAAACTCTAGCATGAGAAGGGGGTGAAGGAGAGTCATGGGGCTGGGGGCATGGGAAGGGCAGGACTCCCTCTTTCGGCAGAAGTTACTGGTTGTATGAGGGGAAGGGGGAGCAGGAGCCCGAGGTGTGAACGTCTCTTCACCCAGCAAAGGGGCGTGATGGAGAGTGGGGCGGCGTTATCTCAAGTCATAAAACTTCCAGATCTCTCAAGCTCCCAACCTTTTGTGTGTAGTGCAACATATCAGAGTCAGTAAAATAACTAGTTGCCAAAAAGACACTCCTATTCACAGCAGCTTTACTCTCCTTCCTTTTCCTTGTGCCTTAAGCCCACCCAAGTATTTGAGTAGCCAGCAGCAAGTGTGTTCAGTCACTCTCTCTGACTGACAAGTAGTCACTCTCTCTGAATTAATTCTCTCCCTGTTTCAGTGCTCTGAGCTGTAACGCGTTAAATCAGTCACACACCACTGCAAGGCAAGGGGAGCAGTCAAATGGTAGAGAGGGCAGGACCCCAACCACATTTATTCCAGTTTTCTTGAACTGGCAGGACTGTGTCTTCAATCCTGTCTCTGTCTGTGTGCCTTCCATTTCTGTATGGCATCAAACTTAACTGCTTTTCTCTTCACTTGGAGAACCTTGCACAGGCTGCTTGTAATACATCTGGAGAAGTTCTCCTCGAACGCCTGATCTCATTCCCTGTTGAGCTTTTTTTTTTTTTTTATCTTCTTCTTTTCCAAAGAAGCACTTTCATATTTTTTGCTGTCCTTTTGAGTGAAAATCCACACAAATAGTCCCCAAAAATCTTATTATCTTCTTTGAAATCTCTCTTCCAAACTCTGCTCTCTCATGTTTCCTACAAAGACTTAACAAAGGGATGTGCTAAGACTTAACAGAGGGAGTGAAGCTGTATTCTTCAGTCTTCTTTTGTGGCTAACTTCTCTGTGTGTGTGTGCACGTGTGTATGTGCACAAATGTATTCCCACTCTTTTGTTAGCTGTTTCTTTGAGTTTGGATTGCGAACTCTCTGGAGCAAGGTTGGAGTTTTGCTCTGTGTCTGGCTTGGTCTGCAGCACAGTGGGGTCCCTGTCCAGAACTGCAGGTATTACAGTGTTACAGTCATAATAAAATAATCCTTCCTCTCTGCCTCTCAAAATCTGGAGTTCTCTGCAGAATTCTTCGTTGCTGGAGGCAGTATTTTGGGCAATGAGGAGGATGAGAATGAAGTCCAAGAACAGGAAGCATAACATTTACTGAAATCTTGCATGATAAGGGAATCCTCTCCCGTCTTCCCACCACAAGCGAAGTTTAATGAATTGCTCCCCTGTTCTGCAGTTGTCCCTGCCCAGGGACACAGTTCATACCACTTGTTTTAGAGTGTCCCTTCCTCTGCTGAGCTTTCCTTAAACCAGTTACAGATTACACTTTCATCCTATTTTGATAGTCGTCCTATTTTGCTTCGTTAACACCAAGATCGAATTTATTCTCACGTATGAAAGAGTTAAAGAATCTTTTCTATTCTTGTTCCTTGATGCTCCAATTAATTTGGTCATTATTATCATCATTCTTAGCACCCTTAGTTCTTTAAGATGTTGGTTGTATAATAACACTGCCGCCTTTCCTATGAGAGCAAGATACGTAGGATTTCAAATTTTAGTGGACAAAACTGAAGCAGTTATGTTAACAAGCCATCTGGTGTGAATGTTTTGTAGTCAGGGTCATTGCTTTTCAGAAAATCCTTAAATCTCAGCATTTCTTGTAGGAATTGTGAGCATCCTGCAGACTGAAATAAGCAGCATCCATGCTCAGGAGATAAAATCACTTTGGCAAAACATGGAATTTTCTATAAATGTGTAAGTGTCGAGTGAGTGCAGTGCGATGCCCCCCAAAAAGAAAGGGCACAACAGTAACCAAAACCAAACTCACCTCCAGCCAGATGCTCCTGCTTGAAGGTTGGCGTTTTGGGCAGTTGTGATACAGTGACATGCTCACACCTCGCAATTTAGGATCAGCTTTTACCTTTTTCCACCTCGATCTCCATGTGGATGATGTCCAAGTGTGATCAGGGGAGCAGTGTGTCAAGCAGCAGGGTGCAAGTGTGCTGCAGTAGCCAGTGCTAAGGGGCCTCCAGCCCCTCTTCTTGCCAGCAAGTTGTGCTCCTGCCTGTCTGCATGGCAGAACCTGATGTGAGCTGGTGCCGCTCCGTTTTCTCTGTCAGCGGAGCTGCTGGGACACCCCGGGACGCGTTGCTGAGCCGCGCTGGCCGCCCGGCCGCAGAGCTCCGTTTGCACGTGCAGCGCGTTCAGAACTTCCTACTTACTGAGCGGCTAGATGGGCTCCTGTTCCCATCAAACGTAACTCTGCTTTGTTTGTGGTTGTGCTGTGAAAGTAGAAGGGAAGAAGAGTTCTCTTCACTGTCCTCAGTGGTCAGCTCTGTGCCAGGGTACATCCTCCCTTCCCATGGGAGACACTTGAGGATTTATGTCGAGATAGCTCCAGGTGCGTGAGGATCACCTCAGTTTCGTGACCTGCCTTCCACAGGACTCATCTCATCTTTGGACAGCACAGATGATTCATCAGATGCCATTGATGCCTCTACAAAAAGGCTGAACACCAGTTTTCAGCACACACTGCCTTACACAGTCTCAAAAAATGACTTTTTGAGAGGCTATTTATGATGAGCAGTTTATGCATTCTCTTTTTATTAGCAAACTGCGTCAGCCTAATACCAGGTCAAAATCCTGTCCCTGCATCTTAGCCCAGGGAACAATTGGAGTGGTAGCTTTTGCTTCACACTTAACACTTTTTGAATATGCAGTAACTTCTTGCTGATGCCTTTGTGCACATTTTTGTTGTTGTTGAGATTGTGAATTGCTTGGTGAGCTCCTGTGCAGATTTATGACGTGGAAAAAGACCTCTCTTTACTGTAAGGGGCTTCCAGCCAAAGGTAGGTTTTAAAGTTCAGTGGCCTCCGTGAGTCTTTCTCTTGGTTTTAGCAGCTGTGCCCCAGGGTGCCAAGTTGGCCATCTAATCAGAAAATACCGAGTATCTTGAAGTCTGCAGGAGGGTTTGACTGGGAAGAGGTGGAATGATTTGTCTGTGTGAGAGAGGGACTTAAATAGGAAAATGAACAAACACAAGTATACTTTTATCTCTAGCTAAAATAAGGGGAAAGGGCTTTCGCAATCTGCAGTTGGTGCCTATTTTGCTGATATGTGGAAGCACATAATTTTGTAAATGCTGTCTGATAAGGGCTGCTACTTTGTGTAGCCTGTGACATTAACAAAGTCCTTCAAAAGGGACTACATCATGAAGACAGACAAATGAAGAGGTGGTTATAATTACTTATGTTTTTCTTTAAACCTAGGATCCTGGCATTTATTTCATTTGCTGCTCTTGGAATATGTTGCTCACATTTTCCAGTCCCATCTAGAGGAGGAGGGAGATGAAAGTCTCTGTGTCATAGAGCAAAGCGACTCAACCGTTCTGTTGGTTCATGAACCCGACCATCTCTTGGACAGTTTTGCAGAGCAGCAGCCTGAAAGCGAAGGCCCACAGCCAACTCCGGAGACTTTGACGCAGAGCCAGAGCAATGACACTTTAAGCAACGTTTTTTTCAGGGTTCTGAGTTGTTTGGTGGACGCAGACACAGGCAGCAAGGTGAAACAAATCATCAACTTCAGAAAGTTACAGTGATTGCCAGGTTATAAGGGGGAAAACAGGGAGGGGGTATGGGATTTGTTGTGGGGTTTCTGTGTGTGAAGCAGAAATAACAAAGGGCAGCTGTGTCCAAAGTCACCTCCAGGCCATAAAACATTGTCCTCACTGCACACCCACTTCCGAACTGCTTTGTGGCAGGATGTTTTCCACATCGCCTCCATCTGCCTTACCAAGGCCCCCTAGTTCTTGCACAGGCCCTTAGGTTTCAGAGTAGCTTCAGTTCCCCCTTGGTGCTGTCCAAGCACCCTCCATGCTGGTCATGGCCTCACCTGACAGGATCTATTTGTTCACTGATCAGAAAAGGGAGCGCATTGTGTCATCTTTCCTCAGTACTAGAGGCACTGATAGGCTCTCCACCCTCTGTACGCCTATTAGCTTTAGCAAAACATTTAGAAATACAAAATCTGCTGTGCCAGACTTCTAATTTTTTTGAAGTCACCCAAGTCGTTCAGAAGGAACGAGAGACAGAAAATACAAGTCGAACTCTCCTAGAAAATGGATAAATATAAGGACATGTGGGAACATGTGCAAGTGGTTAATGCAAGTGATTCATTAGACATTCAGCTGTTTTCAGATTTCTCTTCCTTGCAATAACACCACTATCTTAAGTCACGGGGAATGTGTTTTCCAGAAAGCAGAGCTGGACAAATGCTAATGGCACCAAGATTGATGAAGAAAAATGTATTTTAGGGTGATCCTACTGTAGTTCTTTTGCTGGTTATTTTGCACTGCTCAAGATGTATTCAGTTTTTATAAAATAGGATGAGGATTAGAAAGGGACTTTTTTATCAAGTGTCTTTATTAATTAAGACTGTTGAAGGATTCTTGTTTTAAAATATAAAGATGAAACCAGATTGTTAAATAAAACTGGGGAAGAGAAGACACAAAAGGGATGAAACACAGGAGCGGTTTATAGGAACATCACGTGCATGTTGGACAGTGATTGGGTTTTTTAAGTGCAATATACTGTCCTCCTGCCATGCCTCCTTGACCTCAAAGGCCAAACTGCAAGCTTGGGATGTGAGCTATCCCCAAGGCAGATCTAGGCCGTGGATGGGCAGAAGCTTCTGGCACTTGTGTCCTCAGGAGAGGCAGCGGCCCCCAGCTCAGCGGCTGCAGGGGCTCCTCCTCGGGAGCCTGTCCGCGCTGCTGTTTCCTGGGCTCCTGCTTTGCCACCTGCCACACTGGTCTCTGTATCCAGGGTGCGTTTTGTCATTTTTCTTTTAAATTCTTTACCACACAGCCTCTGCAGTTCTCTTTGGCCAAGTGTCTGTCTTCAGCTCCCTTCCTCCACTTTAGTGTCTGCCAACAGCACCAGCCTCCATATCTTGTTCATCTCGTCCCACAAGGCATTTCTGTGCCTTCCATGCAGCCTGTTAGGCACGGAAAAATCTGTTCCTGGCACCTCCACCCTCATTGCATTGAGGGGAGTGCTAAAAACTCAGCTCTGCTGCGAAGCCCTGGGAAAATGAGAGGGAGGACTGGTAACAGAAATCAGAGAAGCATCTCCGAACCCTGCCCTTGCATCAGCAGTATCAATATGTGCCTGTGTCTTAACAGATCGCTCCATGATCTCCCAGTTGTCACCTTCATCCGTGCTTTTCCTTCCCCATCTGTTCTGGGTCCTTCATTCGTACTTTGTGCTGAATATAAATTACACTCCTCAGCAGAGAGACCATGTTGTTTTCCGTTTATTTTGAACAGCCAAGCACATCTTTGCATCTATTTCTTTTTTATTTCAAAGCGTGAAAATTATTTTTAATTATCTAGAAAATTGAATAAATACCAAGTTGCTGACATCTCCCCAAGAAAACCTCATCTTAATGTGAAAAGCTGTAGAAGAAGGGGAATGAGGCAATGCAGGTTTTTTTTTAAAGCAGGCTTGCTGGACAGCGTGGCAGATGAAATACTGTGTAGCCAAAAAGAATTAGTCCCAACTAAGAGTTGTTGAAACTAATGGCGCAAGCGAAGGAGCTGTGAGGGAACTGTAATCTGTGAAAGTGCAGCTCGGAGAGCATTGGTCTGATCTTCATGGCTTATCACAGAGCTGGCAGTTAGTTTCTCGCAGCACGAATAGCATTTTTTTTTCATCTAGAAAATCCCATTCTGTGCTTCTCCTCTTTGTTCACCTGTTCCCAAATTAAAATCCTATTAAACTGCACACCTGCCGTGGCTTTATCTGCCGAGCACTGGGCTGCAGCTTTTAATCCAATTCCACGCCCCCGTCACATATAATAAACCGCAAATCAGAGCAAGGCAACACCGTTCATATGAAGCTCAGCTGGCAGACAGGAAATCAGACACTTTGGCTTAGTATAAAGGGATAAAAAAACAAGGGAATAATTAGCTGTTTCACATGAATGAATGAGGAGTGTTCATCATCCAAGTGGTGTATGTAAACCAGGATACAGAGATCAAGTAAAAACAATAACTAAAGCGATCAAAAATTAGAGTGTGATCCTGAACCTGACTAAAGCCAGTGGCAAAACTTGTGCTGACTTTCGGAAAATAGGATTTCAGAATTAAAAAGCAGTCCCTGTGAGAGCGAGAGACAGGACTGAAATGGTATGTTTCTAAAAAGGGAAGAACAGAAGGTGTTAGAGCAGACAGATAAAATACAAATGATGTGTTAAAAGACAGAGCGTGCTCTGACCAGACCTTTGCTACCCTGCAAGGAAACACATACGCATCTCTGCTTTGCTGGGTTAACTGATGTAAAATTAGGTTGGGTATCTGCAGGAAAGAATAGGGAATATTTTTTATTATTATTCAGTAGAGGGAAAAACTAATTTACAATCTCTAATTGTCAAAATCTCTAAATGTCAAAACATTTACATGTTTCTGTTCTAATTTTCAGCTTATCCAGGTCATGTTGGAAGACAAAATTACTAAAACTTCTGTTAAGTTGGATCTTCCAATTGGAAAAGAAGCACTTGTTACTCTTAAAGATGGACAGAAATTCATTATTTGTGCCTCTGATGCACAGCAAATCTCCACAGAAGACCAATCTGACTTTTGAATATTATTTATGAGGATAGGCCATACTTACTTTTTGATACCATTTTACTTTTTTAATTTTAAATCTTTTTTTTTCTGTAAATACTAAATTCAAAACTGTGCTAATGATTATTGGGCAGGGTTTTAGGTTTTCTTGTGAATTAGCTATTAGACTTTATCTGAATAAAGCTTCAGAATACACAGTGGAATACTTGTGTTTTCTGTGTCTCGTATTCCTGCCATTGGGAAGGCTGAAGGCCTACCTGGAGTCATTGTGGTGAATTTATCTGGAAGCTAGTGAATAGATCGACCCTGCACCAACCCTGCTTTGTGTCTACCTTAAAATGACTATTTATTGCATATAGCATTTAGCAGAAATGCCTAAGTCTTGAAAAATTCCTGCATGGTTTCCCATTGCTGCCGGGCACAGAGAGTCAATAGCTCAGATGTAATTGCATTAACTGAAATAAAATAGGTTGTGTATAGTGTTATTGATTTATCATATGTCAGAAACTCAAGTTGTTTAAACTTGCTCTATTAAGCATAGTACAGGCAAAAGATTGTAGAATAACTTTATATGAAATACTAAATAAAAATAAAACAAAATTTGTGTTGTGCATGCATTGGTTTACATTAGGAAGACAACTAATTGTCCAGTGAGAGACACAAGGGAATTGGCTTTCTGAAATGTGCTCAGAGTGTATATGAGCCTGCTTCATGATTTTGACATGAGCATCTCCAGGGTAGGAACAAAAAATGGAAGGGCAGGGGGAGCTTATCTAGCTTTTATTAATTCTGGTTTTGGAAATGTACATTTGTTTTGCACTTCTGTGTACTTTCCTGCTTCTTAGCTCAAGTGCTGAAAGAATCCATATTCAAAATTAGCATGTGAAGTGAGGACCAGACGCTGAAGAACGGGTGCAAGTGTCTTCAGTTGCATTGGTAAGAGTTTCGCAGACAAATTTCCCTGGGGAAAGCATGTTCCTGCCTGAAAAGAAATAACGGGCTTTACGGCCTCTTACAACTGTTTACACAGTTTCTTCAGGTTACTGTGATGAAGATAAAATACCAAACAGTGGGTTTAGGAAAACAGAAGCTAAAGATACTGGGTATCTCAGTTTTTATTTATAAGTTTCTATTCGAGATTAGATGTGTAGCATATTTTCTTGAGACAATTAAGCAAAAATGAGAAGATTAGACCAACTTTATGGGCCGTTCTTCACACTATGAAATGTCTGTTGACAGTCTGCTAAACGTGTCCGCAAACTTACCAAAGGGTCTCCTGAGAGATTTATTCTCCTCTGCCTAAGGCCGAGCCAGAACTCCTTAAATAATTTCTGTGAATACAATGAAAGCGTGAGCTTGTGTATTTTGAAGAACTGTTAAGTTTGCATCGAAGGGGTCTACTGCCAGGAGCGG